AAGGGAGGTGTTGGGGGGGGTACACTGTGCATTTCACTCCAGTTCCCACCACTCCCCATTATTTCAAACCCCACTGCTTCTGACACTTACAAATCCTGCCTGGTCCTGAAGACATCTGAGTTTGCAACATCTTTCGAGACTCACACTTGAAACATCTCATTGCCCTAGTAAGTCTGGAAACTTGGGGAAAGCACAGGTTGGACATTACGGCCCTTAGCATGGGCCTTCCCTACCCCACAGAGTACAGTGCAATACTGAGCACATAGTAGCAGCTTAATAAATACAAGTTGAGTACATCCATGAAAGGCTATGGAATCAATCTGGTTAATTTTCAGGGCTGGGGGATCACATGACCTAATGAATAAAGGATGTCATCATGTGAGTGGGTTGAACTTCCTCTTTGCAATGTCAAATGAGCTTTCCTGACACGAGTTCCCACCACGAATCCACCACTTCCAGCAATAACACCTATTGCCTACAGTCTATTCTTGGAAGTCATCCCACTGAAACAGGTGTGATATTTATCTCATTTCAAAATTTAAGTGAATGTCAGTTCCTGGAGGAAGAGGAACAGGGAAGTTTATTTTGGGGTGAGGAGGGAAGGCGAACTTCTTTATAAATGCTGTTTACAAACATAATATTCCAATGACAGGAAATAAGAACAGAAAGCATCTCTTGTTGACCTAAACAAGAAGTGGTTAACCTTGTTCCAACTTCTGTCAAGAGACCTTAGTTGCCCTGTCACCCTGACTGAAATTCATTGAGTTCATGTTTTTTTAAACCCTTTAGAGGTTGAATTATCCAGGATGTACCAGCCTCAGGGACGATCAGGTGATAACCAAGGAAGTGGCAGAGAGAAAATGACGTTTGGAAACAAGACAGACCAAGGTTTGTAAATTGGCTCTGACATTTGCTTTTATGACCATCAGTGTCCTTAGCAAGAAAATGGGGAAATAATGCTTTCCTNTCTGGCCTCCTCTGTAGAACTCAGGACATATCATCTTCCGCACCCACCCAGGCTAAGCAGGCGGACATGCAGTGACACCACCTTGACTGGTTCTAAAGCATCCCCAACCAATTCCAAACCAAAGGTTTAAGACCCACCATGTGTATTTCAATTATCTTACCTTAGAGCAAAATTTCCGCCTTGCCAGGGGTCTCCCTTCCCTCTCTTCATGACTGTCTTCATGTGAGAGTCCTAATCCTGGTGTCTCCATGGTCTAGCAGCTCCCAAATCCCCTTGACTGTTTCTGGGGCAGGCTACGGTATCCCTTGGTGAGTTCTTGGTATTGAGATGAAGGTAAGCCCCCACCCCTGCCATGTGACCCTCACACATACACAAAGCAAGCCCAACTACACATGTTGCATTCTGTCTGTCCTATTGGAGAGGAGGCAAAGCTGTATGGTCACCACAGAGCCATAGCGAGCAAGGGAGCCCCAGCAGGAGATTCCATGTGTAATGGGAGGGCTGATATTATACTGTGGACTACAGGGAATGTTAAAAATAAAGAGATGAGAACTGACTATACTCTTAGGGAGTTGCTAATGGATCACTCTAAAAGACACAGAACCCACAGGAGAAAATGTTAGACTGGGAACTCGTCACTCTGCTGAAGCAGCTCTGCCACCCGAGTCATCCTGAGAAGGACCCATGTGCCCCAAGGAGAATCTCCTGTCCTAGACATGACCCTGTTTTGGCCAAATTCCCTAGTTCTGAAGGTGAAACCAAGCATAAGTTCTTTCCTCTGATAAACAAAGTAATTTTACTGCCATAATTCGGTGCCCCTAGGCCCAGTGTGGAGGACGGAAGGGTCCCAGCACAAGGGAGCTGGAGGGCTACAGCTCTTATCACTGTTGGCAGGGCTCCCAGTACGAGAGAAGTGAGGGGGTTCTCTCAAAGACCCGCCAGTCCCCAAGGAGTGCTGGCATGGGTCACCTAATCAGTCCCATCTGGCGGTGCTAGCAGCTTCACTGGTCACAGCATGAACTAGAGGGCATGTCCTGTTCCTTGGGCTGTCCTTCAGAGAGGCCAGAGGGCTCCTTTAATGGAACTAATTGAATGGAGTCACGGCTAGATTGCAGGAGAGCGTGCAGGAGTTCAGGGACTAGGCTGAAACCACACACATAACCCATCAATCTTCTCAAATTATACACTTAAAACCAACCCCCTTCCTTATGGCAAACATATCATTCACACTCTCATTTTGAAAATCTCTTTTATAATTCAGTGCCTACAGGCTTAGCTAACTTTGGGTTACTCTCTTGAACATACAGAAATGGCCTCATTGCTTGGCAAGTTTTGTTTGAAGGGCCCAAGTTTCCACAAAGGAGATTTTCCCAGGAGCATCTGCAGTCCCAAGCCCCATAAAACACGCTCATAAAATATGGTCCAGGCGTTGACAGATCTGCAACTGTCAAAGTCAAGAAAGGAATTAAAACTGAAGCAAGACAGGTGGGACTTTTAAAAATTATGTTTATTGACACAGATCTTCCCAAAGTAATCCTAACTCCAATTTCACAAAATTATTCACACTGTTACGTACTCCAAAAGCAAAATACCTCAGCTGCAATCTTAGTCCCAATATAGTTCCTTAAAACTGAAATAATTCCTTGAGAAATAAAAAGTTAAAATAGGAATAATTAAGGGCCGGCCCGTGGCTCACTCGGGAGAGTGTGGTGCTGATAACACCAAGGCCCCGGGTTCGGATCCCACATAGGGATGGCCGGTTGCTCACTGGCTGAGCGTGGTGCTGACAATACCAAGTCAA